TTGTTAAGTGTAAAATCACTTTACATGTTTATTACAATTATGCCTTAATTTAATGTTATCTACTTCGAACTGTAGGAGTTAGTTTTTTTTTAAATTGTTTTTTTATATAAATTGAATTAATAATAGTGCATATACACACTTCTGTTAGTTCATAATGATAATTGCTTTATCTATCGTTTTTTTTTTTTTTTTTTTTTTTTTTTGTTTTTGCTGATAGGTCCTTAATTTTTTCTTTGATTGTCCTTAAAAGTCCTTAATTTTCATGTAAGGAAATGTGTACGACGAGCCGAATAACATGTAGCATAACGTCCAGAAGTGTGGATTTAGTGATTTATTCGATATACGAGGTGTGACACACATAAAAAAGGAGACTTAAGTGTGTAGTTTGAAAACAGAGTGGAGTTGGCAAGAACTGTTTTGGTCACGTTATGCCACGCATCTCCTCTATCCATGCTGTTAGTTTCGACTTAACCGACCATGCCAGTGGGAAGTACTGCGTCATTGAGTAAACACTTGCAATTGCATTCTGCCGGAAAAAATGTCTAATGTAAAAACCGTACAGCGAATCAACATCAAGTTTCTTGTGAAACTTAAGAAATCAGCCAGGGAGGAAACAATTTCAAATGGTTAACCTAGGCTTATGAATGAAACCGTTATCTCGTGCAACGTGTGTTTTAATGGCAAAGCTTGCACAGGTAAAGGAACTGTGTTGCCGATATGACGTGCTGGGGCGCCCCCTTGGGCGACCAGCACGTTCATCATAATTGAATGGGTTCCCAGTTGGTCAGACTGTTAAGCAACACTACTCTACTATGAGTATTAATACTTCGTTGGAAAAACATTAGGAGAAAAAAAAGGCTTAGTTTTGTGGAGTATGGAATGCGTGGCACCAGAAATGCACCCTCAACACCGTGCCGTATCTGTCCAAGCAGTTTCTGTCCCGCAAAAATCCTTACTGTGATGGGGCATCCCTCCTATACACCTGTTTGTTGGGTCCCTGCCTTTTTTTTATTTCCTAACGTTCATACTTACTACTTAAAAGGAAGCCCATTTTCCCTCAGCTGAAGAGGTTCGGCAACGGATAATCTCCTGAAGGGCCTTCCAGAAATCGCGTTTCAGAACTGTTAACACAAATGCTAGCACCGAATGCAGAAGTGTGCAAATCTAAGGAACTACTTGAAAGATGTAGTCACGGAAACTACTTCGTAATACATAATGTTTTGGACCATCTCGGGTTTGGTTTTTTTTTTTTTTTTTTTTTGGTGTGTGTGTGTGTGTGTAGTTGTATTTTTTGAACAAAATATTCAATTCCTTTGAAATTTTACTGTTTTCTTTTTTTATGCGTAAACATCGCATCCATCGAATTCCATGCCATTCGAATAATTTTTCTTGTTGTTTTTCGTCCTGAAATTACATAAGTCAATGACTAATTTTTATAACTGACGCTAGATTTCAATAGCTTATTTCGTTTCAACACTTTCTGGTTAAAGATGGCAAAGAGTTGTAAAAGTTCTTTTCCTACTTCATCGTTTTTAGTTATTTAAACTTTTGTTGAACTCATATTTCATGAGGGAGAGGATATGAGGAGTCTCATATTTATGAGAGAGATGTATGTTAAACTTTTTTTTTTTTTTTTTTTTTTTTTTTTTTTTGAGAGAGAGAAAAAATGGATTGCTTTTTCTGTCAGCACGAAGAGCCTTCACACTCGCATCTGTCAGATAGGGGAAACATCCACGGAACTTGATTAATTTTTTATCATGTCTACGTTTCAAACATAATTTTTTGCGGATTCGTGGACCTGATAGTTGTTGAACATAGTATAATTCAACTGGGATAAAATCGGAACCCGAAGGCCTATATTATTGGAATTCATATAGTATTTCCTAGCCATTTGATGGGTCCTAATACTTTGTCATTTTAGGGTGCTTCGCCCTTGTTTGTGTTCGCTGAAGACTTCTTCAGATGATTTTCTACCGCCTTAATATAAAAAAAAAAAAACAAAAAAAAAAAAAAAGATCGGTGTTTTTTCATTATTCCACAAATGTTGTAGATAGTACGTTTTCACTCAATCAGCATCAAACCAAAGAACTTGAATAGTTCTATGTATTTGTAAAAGAGAACCAGTTTCCCCTTTGTATTAAACCAAAAGTTATCCGGGGTTATTAATTGTTTTACACCATCACATGAGAAAGCAGAAAAATTGCATTTAAACAGTTGTTCTTCCAAAATATTTTGATTGTATGATACAGCTTTAATTGCGCACGAAAGCTATGAAAGAACGCGAATGATCAGCCAAGGCATTCTGTTTCTATTTGAAGAAATTTTCAGAGACAATAAGGAATTTAATATACGTTGGAAAAAGTATTCCCACATACAGTTATAAAATCATCTAAGACCGTAAACTAAGCAGCTTAAGAAGATGGTCCTATCCTCAGATTATCGTTACCTAACGATTATCTTCCTATCAGCCCATATCCTCTTAGAAGCAAACGGAATTAATCCGATTTCGCAACTTTCCCAGTGACTATTACTGATGTCATTAATTAAGCCTTATTATCTAAATCATCAGCAGTCCATCCCAGTCAGCAGTCCATTTGACTAGGACTTAGACTAAAACTGTGTGCCGCACTTATTATTCGCTGTCTTTCCTTGAATTTCCAGCATTCATCAAAAGCATCTGTACTGCTGCTGTCTTTCGCTCAATCAGGAAAGTATTTGTAAGTAAAATTATGGTAATCGCAAAATAATACACAATTGATTTATTATAGTAATAATTATTGTTATTTATCTATTTTACCTATAAATGTAACTGAGTGGTAAAGTTTCTTGAAATCAGAAAATTTGTTCACTAAACACTACGACTTTCTTGACTTGCGGAGAGTGCTTTGATCATTGGAGTTAAGCAAATCATTGAGTATAAGCAAATCATTGGGTATAAGTAAATCATTGGGTATAAGCAAATCATTGGGTACAGTAAGACCCCGCTTAACGCTGTTTCGTTTAGCGCTGTTTCGGTTTAGCGCTCTTTTATTTCAACCCGGGGATTTTCCGAAATTGTGCGCAGCGCTAGGTTTCCAAATAACATATCCGAAACAGTGTAGTTGTGTTTCTTGCTTGGTGGAAGCATTTTTATCATTTGAAACATTTGTTGACATTATTGTAAGTTTAAATTTGTATAATACTTAACGATTAATCAGTGACAAATATTGATCTTTAGTTTTTATCATGGGTGATAATAAAAAACAAGAAAAGAAAGCAACCAGAAAAACATTTCACTAGAAACTCAAATGCAAGTGATTAGAAGATTAGATTCTGGTGAACGTCAATCTTCAAATTAGTGCTGCATTGATTTTGGCAACTTCAACGATAAGGACAATTCTTAAGAATAAATAAAAATACTGTCATCGGCAACTGCACTACAGTTGCCCGTTCTAGAAATAACATTATAGAGGAAATGGAAAACGACTGTCTATTGGATTGACGACGAATTGAACGCAATATGACATTAAGCCAATCTATCATAAATGCCTTCTTGACAAAAAGGCAGAAAATTGGAAACCCAGAATAGCTGAATGATCTGACTGAGAATTTTATTTGTTTTTAAAAGTATATGCGTTTATATTGTTTTTATTTTTGTAAGAAATAAATGTTTGATTTTATTTTTATTAAAAAAACATTATTAAATTTAATGCCTAACCATTTTTTATCCGTCTTCCCCTAACCCCATTATTTACATGTTAAGATAGCCTCGCTTAGCGCTGTTTCGCATTACGCTCTACTTCGATGGAACGTATCCCCCGCGTTAAGCGGGGTCTTACTGTATAAGCAAATCATTGGGTATAGGTAGAATGTCGTTATTTGGATATATCAAAAGTAATAACACTTTCGTTAAGTTGTATGAAAGCCTGTTCCCCCTTTTCATTAAACCTCTTTGGAGGGTCTTTTTTTTTGTGGGGGGTGGTGGTGTTTGTTTTTAATTCTAGAAGGTCAGTATGTGGGAATTGTACCTATATTACCAGTGGTAACATGTTAGTGTGTGTTACTTAATTCTACGTGTTACTTCTATGCCGCATATAGTGGCATCCAAAATACTCGCCATTTGCTATTCGTTCATTTTTTGCCTGTGAGAGATCGTCGCCCACAGACAGCTTTATAAAATTTTAGAACTGGTATCGCTTCAGAAACAGAACGACTCTTATATCCTAGCGATTATAAACCCGTGATCAAAATTTCTAAGGTCAGCATATTTGCCACCGTACTGCAGCTTAGATTTGGTTTAAATGCTTCGCCAATTAGCATAGGGATGACAGTATAAATTCTACATTACAGTTGTTTCTATTATTTTCCATATTTTAATATATATTAATCGTTTTTCATTTTTTTTAAGTCGAAGCTCATTCATAATATTAATTTAGTTTCTTTTTTAATTTAAGATTGTAAGCTATTAGCTACTCTTTTAAATCTTAAACTGTGGTTGAAAGAATTTACTTTTTTGTAATCAGCCATGCCCTTAGTGAAATATTATATATCCAAATAAGAACGTAAAAGGATGGTAACGGAAAAGAGATTAATTACATTTAAAATAAATGATCAGAAAAACAACAGATACGAAATTAAGTAAATTCGACCTTAGGTTGATTTCGGATTAATAGGAAAACTTTATATCTTACAAAGAAAAGACACATATAATCTTTCGTATAAAAGCAGTATCAGTCTAAGGTTAATTTTGTTTTCTGTTTTGAATTTAAAATTGACGTGCTTTCATCCAAATAACAAATAGTTTCGAGGGACAATAATTAAACAGTAAAAGTGCTAAATTATTATCTATGAATTTTAATTAGTAGAATTATTGTTAGTTTATTAGCTATATGAAATTAGAATGCCTCATGAAAAATAATTCGCTTAGATAATCTTATTCCGTTAACATTTTACTTTGGCCAATGTATTCCATACCCAACTTTCATTTTTAAAGAACCATTTGCTGTGATTTACAACCTCTATTACGTTTTTGTTTGGCTAAGAAATTCAAGCGGCTGCGAAAACAACATATACTCTTTACAGCTAAAGAAAATATTTGTAGAGTGCAACTCGATAAAGAGTTCCTCGATTCAGACAACAAAACAATTCGAAATGACCATCTTCAGTATTCTCCCAATTCTTGCATGATGGTGAAAAATAAGCCACGGCGTTCTTTCATAGGGGTAAGTATTTTTATTATTATTATTATTATTTTACTTTAGAAACTTATTCATTCATAATCATGATAGTTTGTTCAGATTAAGTTTGAACCTATAATATTGACCCTCCAGCATGTACAGGGAAAATGATATATTGTCCGGCAGCTAATGTCTCTTAAAAATACTACTCTCAAGACGGCAAACCTAAGGAAAAATGCGAAAGTATTCCGTTGATGAGACACCTATCGGCTATCGTGTTCAGATAATGAAATCTTATAAAATTTTAATTCAGCCAAATAGAATATTGTAAATCTCTCGTTAGTTTTCGTATTTTTAAGTAAAGCTTATTTTGTCTTAGAATAAAACTACTAATCACATTCCTACGGTTCCAGCTCTGAAAAGTATTCACAAAAGATGAGATTTTTTTTTAGCGAATTTTATGTGCTACATGCACAATATTTATTCAATTTATTTCGCTGACATTTTATGACCTATCATTTGCTCGAGACAATGCTTCGAAGAATTTTATCTAATGTTAAATAGCCTTTCTATTATACAACTAATTTATTCATTCTAAACAAGTTGGACATATTAATGCAAATTTGGACGAGTCAATAAATCAATCTGGAAATGAAATAATTATTTACATATTTCCTTAAGCACATGTATTGCATTTTCGCTTCAGAATAAAAAAGTACTTTTTTATGTATTCCTTAAAATAAAAGAGGTAGATTTCATTAATTTTATGGGGGGAGGGGCTTTGTTTAAGTTCCTATTTCATCTCGATTTTGTTGTTGGTTTTCTTTTCTGCAATCTGTTGAAATTCGTTTTTATTTGAAAGCATTTTTAGAAGTGCGTACAGATAGACTAGAATACAAGTATAATATAATTAAAGTTATACAGACTATGTTAGTGTGCTCTTCAAACTTGTTACTCTTATATCTTTAAATATTTGCTCATAATGTTATTTAATTTGAAGTTTACTTGTACAAGCTATTTGCTTACCATGCATCCGAGATTAGCCTGGAAAATTTGGGATTTAAGTTTACGTCCGGGCATTGTCCAGTATTCAAAAATGCCGGTAGCTTTAAATACTTGCCGGTCTGGATAATCAGTTTCACCCTAAACACATTAGATTCAGTAAAAAGGAATTTTTCAACTATGAAAAATATTTGGTCCTGAGAAAACGTCGAGTAAGGATGTCAACAATAGCGTACTTTTAAACTTGAAAGTTAACTAAGTATCCATTTAATGGCTTTTATGAACATATAAAATGTAAGAAAAGGCTTTTAAGGAAAATATTATATAATGAAAAATAAGAATGAAATAGAAACAAGAATTTTAATTATCTACATCATATTCAGACCAGAGGTATTGCAATCATTATGCGGTCTACTTTTTAGTACCTTGAATATTTTGTCATCCTTACTGTATAATTTTCTTTCATTGTTACATACAATTGTTATTTGTCATATCAACTAATGTACATACTGTGGGCTTTCTAATCCCTGACGTTATGTTCTTATAAAGCATCCTAGACATGAACATTCACAGAAAAATTTTAAAGAGGGAGAAGATACTGGGAACAAACAGCTGAATAAATAATTTTCACTTAATATTTTAATAGATTATAGAATTATATTTACTTATATATGGGCTGTATATATACTTTACAAGCATCAACATAAAAGCAATTGATTCAAAGCGAGTCATGTACCCTATCCTCTATCAGGGAAGCTCATAATTCTGAATTTTTGTTTCCAAAATATGGTAAGCGGAACGATCTAGTATTTTAAAGCAGTTAAATTTTAAGTTTCGATTGATTATATGATTATATTCTAGACTATCCGCTACGTGGCCAGCCTTTGTCTGGCTTTTAAATGTACCTGAAAAATGCCTAAAGGGAACACCAAACATTAAATTTAAAAACTGTACGGAATTTTACTCTTCAGAACAACTTTATCAAAAAACAAACAAACGGAATAAATAAATAAACATAAATTTCAATAAAAATGTAATGTATATAAAAAATTACAGTGAAATAGCAATATCCCTTAATACAAATATTAATTATCCTAATAAATAAATTAATCAAATTTTTGTTGCCTTCTGTCGACAAACGTTCAGTATCCAAGAGAAACATTAAATTTAAAAACTGCACAGAATTATCACCCTCATTTTTCCGAGTGGCAACAGTGCTGATGTCAGCAACAATAGCAACAGTGATATATCAGCAACAATGGCTGCGTGCTATTGTTGCTGGTATAATGAGAGAGAATTTTCGATTTGATGCGATTTCATTAAAAAATTAATTAATTAATTAATTAAAAAAACTCATTCGTTTTTGAAAAAATCGCTTCGAGGTGCACTGGCTCTTGTCTAGACGCACCCCTGTGTACCAAATTTCCTAGCCCTGGGGGCTTACGCGCAGCACGAACCAAAGGGACACACACACACAGACAGACAGACTCTTCCTTTTATATATATATAGATAACTTTTCCCGTATATCAATATAGTCTTGTTAGTTTTGTGTTTACTACAAAGTCAGATAAATTAACACGCTAAATATAACAAAAAATTTGCCGAAAAACAACTAAAGTTGCAGCGTGGCATAAAATATATGAAACAATAGCTCACATTGTTATCTCTTGCAGTACAATTATTTTCTTATTTTATTTTCTTAGATGCAAATATTTGAACAGAAAATTATTTCGGAGACTAAATGCGCCTTTCCAAAATTTATATATTCCCAGCTCTTCGCATATATTCCTTAATTTTTTTCAATAACATTCAGTCCCCTTACATTTTGTGTCTTATTAAAACATGGGACTAGCAAGTGAAAACAGCATATTTCAAGCAGAGCTATTAGCAATACATCAGGTATTGGAATAACCAAGAAGAACCAACCTAAACAAAGGTGCGTATTAAAAACTCCGGCTGTCAACCCTGTTACATGTCTTTAATTATACACAGCACGACTCTCCAACAGTGAAAAGAATTCGAAAAATTTTCCTGTAGCAAACAACAGGATATTACTATCTCATGGATCAAATGATGAAAACGAAGAAGCAGATATACTTGTAGAAGAAGACGACAAGACAGAGTGAATGGTAAATAGCGACATATTTTGCATATCATTGCTAAAACTTCATCTAAAAAAAAAAAAAAAAAAAAAAAAAAAAAAAAACTATTTAACAGAAGATATTAGCAGCAAGGCAGCAGAAATGGGATGCAATACAAAAGAGCACAATGACTTTCAGTATTTACCAAAATGTGATCTGAAGAAAGGAAGGAACAAGTAGCTTATTATATCATCTTATATATATGTATGTATATCATTTTTAACAATTTTTAGCGTTTTAATTTATGCATGTTTTCTAATCTTTCATAATCAAGCTACGTCTTTTTTGCTTTGTATTCCATTCTGTTTGATCGTGATGCTGACACGAGTTTTATTAAAAAAAGAAATAATTTATGTTCTCTAGCAAGAAATCCATGTATATATTACATCCTTGTTTAAACAAATTTTCAGTTCAAGTAGCCAAGTTCTTTTCGCTTTTGTTGTTTTCAAGCAATATTATATTCAGAAGAAGTTATTGAAAAGGTTTGAGGTCTATTTATCTTTCCGATACTACATAGTTATAACAACTCTGAACCGGTTTTTGTGAAGGCCATGACGTCATTAAACTTATAGACCGCATATTTGCATATTTGAAGTACCGCCATGCAGCACCGACACTATACATTTACAAACATCCATGTCTTCTCCGAGATTCGAACCCTTGCCCTTCTGTACCGTAGTAGGTTTCCCTACCGTTTGGGCTACATCAGTCGCATTGGTCGTAATAAGTGTATATACTTAGAATGTTTTATCGTAATGAGTGAAGAAGGCATCTTTTTATAGCATGTGATTGAATTTTGTGTTATACTTCGCAAAGCCATGGCAAAGCATTCGCAACTTTATAGTATGCATATGGTGGTGGAGCGCTAAAACATTGCAGTGGAGTTTTGAAAGAATTCCATCATTTGGTCAAACACCAACATTTATTTTACACCTTATGTCAGATACAAAATTAAACGCAAAACTAATTAAAAGAAATCTTAGCGCAGTTACTACGTTGTCTATCTTCATGCACGAGGAAATTCTATATCTACCTTTTTTCGCTTGATATTTTACAGCGTAAGGTATCAGTTTACCTCGTACCTCGTATCAGTTTAGCTTATTTAGAATTGAAGACACTACAATATGCTTCAGGATTTCACTGTCAGAGGAACTTGAAGGGAATAATATCGAAGTGATCGACAAGAATCATTCTGAGAGATTGTCTATCCACTGCGGTTATGAATATCAATGACCGGAAAGTGAATAACGACTATTATATAAATACCTTGAAAATCATTCGTATGGAATCAATTGTAGCATGGGAGTACTGTTTTGAGTCCATCTACTTAAGACAGAAAGCGCTGCATATAGCCTAGCCTTAATGACATGTGACTTTTGGGAGGGTGTTCTCAACATTAAAAAGTTAAGTACGCGAAAAGAGGTTCCCTTCAAATGAGGAAATGAAAAAAGCCACGCTCACATGCAGATGTCACATAACAATCTATTTCATGTTTTTTCAATTGTTCATAAACGCGGAAATAAATTTTATTCAATGGGAAGTGCTCAAATTTGAAAAACAGAAAAGTACATGGCTCTTAAAATCATCTGATTCGAAATAGATGGATTCACTTTTCGGCAACATTTACACGAAACTGTCAGGAAATTCAATATCTCAATAGCTACTATGCGTCCTCTCCTCGGCAGACATAGCAATCTGACTATCAACAATAAGCTTATTTTATACAAGTCCATCCTTAGACCTACTTTACTATGCACCCTGGTTCATCCCAAATTCATATATTCACAGAGATCTTCAAATTGATACTATACAAAATTATATAAAAAAGACGTGCAACAAATTTTTTCCTTTCCGTACTATTACTTCCAAACAGCTGTATCAGCTCTTTGGGATGCTCACCTTTTCCTAGAGCAAAACACAAATATCCTTCAGATATTCTAACCTAACATTTTTTTAATTATTTGAAGTACCTACTACCTTACTGATCCAACTTTTTTTTGACATTGCTGGCCTATTTTCATTTATTTCATCTTTCTTCGCTGACTGATGGCGGCTAAGTGAAATATCCCATTCTACCATCTTGATTCTTCATATTTTCTTTTTGTTGTTCCAGACGTGCTTTTATCTGATGCAGAGTAAAAGCGCGCTGTCACTCTCTTTCCATTCGACACAAGTCAAGTCAGTCAACCTTCAAAGTTCAAACATATAAGAGACTGATTTGCTCCAAAATAATAAAATCGCATCATTAAAAATAAAGTAAGAGTAGGCCTAAATTTGCGTCAATTAAGAATATGGTCATTTTTAAAATCAGAAGTAAAAACAAAAGCATATTTTAAAAATTATTACATTAAAATGACTTTTTTCTTGTACTACTTCATTCACGGCGCTGAGTTATTGTGAACTGAGATTTCATCTTGAACGCTTTGTATTCTCTCTCTCGCTTCGTTATTGCCAAGTTACTAACCACTACTGTCCTCTCTCTCTTCCAATATATTTTTAAAATCTCAAAGGTTGGGATATAGTTCTTGAAGAAAAGGCGCGTTTACTGCGTCAGTTTATATATGTTGGCTTAAAAAATATTTGTCAACGAGAATAAAAGAAGCTACTGAATTGGCCACTCCGACTGCAAATACATCTTTACGCGTCTAGAAGCCATTAATATCTCAATATATATATATATATATGTGTGTGTGTGTGTGTGTGTGTGTGTATATGTAAGAAAATAAGAATATAAAAGATTAAATAGCATCGTAAATTAATTTACCTTCTCTATTCTAAAATAGCAAATTTTTTGCCTTGCGTCATTTCGAGAAAAATCTATGTCATATGACCTTACGTATTTTCTGGTAATGGTAAATTTAAATTGAACTAAAACTCAAGCAGCCAATAATAATTTTACAGCAATATTAACTATCCATCAAATGCTTTGAGAACCAAAACTAAACCTCATTTGCTTGAGAGATTTCATCCTGTACATAACGCACGTTCTTTCTACGCTTTGCCTTAGCTGGACTGCAGTCTGTCTGCTTCTTCTTTTTTACTGCAAATCTGTTAAAAATGTAAGCCCTTTGGAACAGGCACTATGCCGACATATAGCTGAAAATAAAACTGAAGATTTAATCTGCCTTCGCCTCCAATTTCCTGGTCATTGCTTCTAAGTTTGAATATATTACATATATATATATGTAATGAAACTGTGGTTGGATGACACGACATGAATGATTTGATCGTGAATGCGGTACAAATTTGCATTAAAATTTTCGGTGAAACAGGACTTTTCCCATGATTCTTTGTGAGCATAGCTTAGCAAACTCATGTAGATTTTTTCATAATTAGAACTGGCCGAAGAATGTAATGACAGAACAATTTTGGAGGCATTGAAATACGAACGCTGAGACATAGATGTGTAGAAATACTAATTGCGTAGATACTTGATGCTTAGAGCACCATCATTTGAAGAGAAGCAGTCGAGCCGGATTAATTCCTTTTATTTATTTAATTCACACTTGTGGCCACAATCCACTTGGCCTCACTCGTGCCTATTAAAGGACATTTACAATTTGGATATTATTGGCATAGAAGCGAAAGTAGCAGCACACACATGATTGCAGAAAGGCGTCAGGCCTTGGAAAGCACAAGCAAAAGTAACGCATCAGTTCATAGAAAGAAGGGAGGGAGTCAAAAGTTTCAGTTTTTTAGTTTTGGTTTACCATTCGGTGATTGGTCAAGAGGCATCTGCATTAAGGGTTACGTAAGATCGCATCATTAATTTTAATGACGCAGTTTAGACTTAAGCGCTATTTTTAGTACAGATAGATGAAGTTCCCAAATGAAATTAAAAATAAACGAGGTTATAGTGAATTAAATTTAGAAGTTTGCTTCATGTTTTTTCTTACACACACACACACACACACACACAACACACCATATATATATATAATTTATTACTAAGAAATATTGATTAGATTATCTCCTAATATAAATTTACTGGAATGTACAAAATAGGAACCCAGAATAGGACGTTGAATTCCAAAATTATTTTTTAAAGGACTTGAAGTAAATCATGAAAAAAAACTTTATAAGGGGACTTGATTTAAATCAGATAACAAAAATTCAAACTTTGAAATAGAATTTAATAAACCAATAATTATCATCAAATGTAAACAACCTGTATTTAGCGAGTATAATGAAACACCAATCGATTTCGAGGGCAGCTAAAGGTCCCTCCTCATCAGAGAAAGAAATACATAGAAAGAAAAAATAAAGAGAAGGAGTCCAGAAACACGTGGTCCTTATCACACTGCACTGGTATACTAGATTTTTAATCAGAGTGCACTGTCCGCCTACTTTTACTGATCAGCTATCGATCGAGCATAAAAATTAGCGATTATTTGAGTTCAGATTTGAGCGTAAGGTGCATTGGCCTCTCCTTCCTATTTTTAACTTCGCTATTTTCATGCTCGTCAGATATCCTGGCTCAGTAAAATAGGCGGACATGCACTCTGATTAAAATCTATTATAACCACGTGCAGTTCTGAGGACCACGTGTTTCTGTTACTCCTCTCCTTTATTTTCTTCTTTCTAGTATTTCTTTCTCCTATGAGGAGGGACCTCTACTGCCCGAAATCGATTGATGTTTCATTGACCTACGCTAAATACAAGGTTGTTTTTACATTGATTGTCACATTAGCGTTTTCTCTTCTATTCTAGTAAAGTATTATCGTCATTGATCGGAATTAGTTGACTTTTCAAGGGGAACAACTAATCCCGTTCATGACAATAATAATAAATGCGAAGGTTTTCGTCTTTTACTCAGTAAGATGATGTTGCCAAACTGGCAAATTAAGTTAGGCCAAAATCGTAGTTCCGTTAAGTGATTGAATTTTATATATATACATATATACGTACTCGTATATATATGTGTGTGTGTGTGTGTGTGTGTGTGTGTGTGTGTAATTGATATTTAAAACATAGATACTCTTATTTACTTATTTTTACAAATTGCATGCATTCTAAGGTAGTTACAATTTATTGATGTAATCAGTAATCATTGTTTCAGAGGCTTCAAGTTAGCTTAAAAACATTTTTACAGTTTCAGGATTTCACAGCATCTACTCATTCCGTCATGGAGAGTGGCAAAGTAAAAGATTCCGAAGATAAGGACATGTGTGACATCACAGGTCATCTCGGTCCATGGCAGATGCGATCTTTTACTATATTTCTTTTCATAGCATTTTCATGCAGTTGGCACAATCTAATCCTTACCTTCCAGTCTCCTAATGTTTCTTATTGGTGCAAATCAACTTATAATGCAAGTACCGTCTGGAAGCATGATAAGCATTCTGAATGTTATGATGGAGAAAATAAATGTGAATCTTGGGTCTATGATGAATCAATTTACAAAAGCACTATTGTTAGTGAGGTAAATTGTTCTTCCATTTTTTAATTATGTCTAGTGTGTAACTAGCTGCTTTTCCATTCTCTGTGGAAGGTAGTCTAAATCCTTTTTGAATATATATGGTTGATTTAGAGCACAAATGAGGTAACTACACGTTGAAGAGTTTTGGAAAAATAGAAGCTTCATTTATAATGAAATAAAAATGTTTCTACTGACTTCACATAAATGTGATAAAATAGTTGAGACATACTAAATTCTATAGAAAAAATACCGTATTTAATTTCTATAAGGACGCAATTATAATAAGAAAATAGCAAATAAAATGTATTGACAAATAAACTGACGATAAATATCACAATATCATTTATTTAAAAGAAATCTACATTTCAATAAGAATAATAATATTAAGATTACCAATATTTTATAAAATATCTTCCTTTCTACTTCTTCATTCTCTCGCTCGTTTTGATGTTACTCCCCTCCCTGGACCTAAAATCATTTAATGCTGCTGAAACTAACTATCTGTGTCGTCTGATACAGATTAAAAGTCATTGCTTTGTTACCGTTCAGTTTGTCTTCCTACGTGCAATGATCTTCAGAATCATAATAAGCATTAAGTATCCCCGTTGTCTTACAGCTCTTAAGAAGTATTGCTTAATCATTCAAAGTCCATGCATCCAAATTTACGAATAAATGAATTAATAAGAATTAATAAAGAATAAATGAATTAATAAGACGAAAACAGTCTCCAAATGTACGAATCTATTTTAAAATTAAGAAAAGGTAACTTTCCAACCTCCTTGATTATGCGGAAAATTACATGAATACTTCCAGAATCTGGTGCTAAAACAGGTAACAAAAAAATACGTAAAGGGGGACACGCAAGTCAATATGGTAAATATTTTGCGCAAAAAGTACAGAACTTATATTAGTATTAAGAAACGAATTTCCTTAATTTGTACACTAAGCATTATGATCATAATTGCAGTTTAATCCTCTGCCGCACAGTGTGTCCGGTCTGGACGCACCTAAAACTTTCCTTCTGAACGCACAGAAAAATTGAATAAAAAAGGATTTATAGGTTACTAATAGGTTCTCTGACCTTCTTTATTATAGTACATGGCAGCTCAACAACCAGTCCATTATTTAGCCATGTTTAGTTTTTTAAGACCCTCATTTTTCAAGAAATCTCCAGTTTTTTAGGCTATAAAAGATTATTTGAAAGAAATTTCTATGTTTTTTTTGGCTTAGCTAATCTTCTTATTCTATATTAATTTAAATTTTTACCTTGATATCTTGTCTAAAATCAAACGGCGAATCTAGTGTACTCAGACCAGCTCACCGATAATCTAGGACACGAGAGTCTGTATTGTTGTTCTTCTCCGCATCTCTAGCTCAGTTCATTGACAACATCTCGTTTCAGCACTCTTTTCGAGCTCTATTCAATCAGTGTGCCCTCGTTGGGCAACCCACAAATTAAACGATAAGTTCACAAATATTACTTGTTTGCTCCTCTAGCTAATTAACGCCTACCTTTTTTTTTTTAAATCAAAACTCCAACTTTAAAAGGTAGCATGCCGGAAAGGGTTAATGTACTAGTATTTTTACCTTGAGGTAAATCGACTAAAAAAAAACATAGATACACAAAAATAAAAAATTAGACAAATTCGACATTATATTGACGCAAGGTTCATCGATAACTTTATTAACTTCGAGGGACCCTTCGAAAAAAGATTTTATGTTCATCTCCCTCGAAATCAACAGTTCTTTCTGAAAAGATATCACTTGATGTTTACTTAATTTTATTTAGAGTTTAGTATATTCACCATTTTCATCACCTGACATCTGGTATTATGATCCTTATGAGAAAGAAGTAGAGTTAAATTGCGAAGTTTCTAAATTCCGTAATGAGAACATTTTTGTTTTTGTTTTTTTGTTGTTAACAAATGCCACTTTGCTGCTTCGTTTATGCTTAATAAAATCTGAAATTTGGGTTCTATCTTTCTTTAAATTTCATCAGAGTGGCGCTATGCTTTCAGATTACGTTCTTCTAACTTTTAGCCATTCAAAGTAATATAAATTATAATTTACGGGAAGGAATTCGAAAAGTAAGTTAACTTGATTTCAACACGTCAAACAAATTTTGCTGAGAAGTGTAATGTGATACAATACGACACAGTTACATCACATATGTTTTTGTATATTTTCTAACGTAATTCGCTAATGTTTATAATCACTTGTCTGAGTGTTGAGTTGAATATTTGATTCTCTGACAATATAAATATCTTAATACAAGGACACTTTAAAAAATTCAGGAAGCAGGATAACAAATAATCAACAAAAATGCTGTTAACAATTTACGAGCAGCTTTATCTGGGGAACAAGTTAATTTTTATTTTCCTTAGAAAGGTGTTTCTTTTATGCTGATGTTTTATGACAGTAATTTTTTTCATCGTTCGGCAATTAACAAATTCATTTTTATAGGCCCCAGTAGCTGATTATAAATAAATAATAATTAAACAAGAATATTGCTTATTAAGAACTACGGGAAAAAGTCAGGAATTATCTTACTGCTAAGAAGAAACATAATTTCAATGTAATGCAAATGTAATATTAATGTAAACAACACAAGTAATGAATCTGTAAAGGTGGTGCACATAGGCAATCAGTAAACAATGTGCATAGCATGTGCCCTCTATAAGCGTTTATTTTTAGACCTGAAGGTAATGTAATGTAAATGTATCATAAGGTTATAATGTTGCGAGGCCCCAACTTGTCAGCAACAGTAGTGGTGACTGCTATGAACTGTAACTTACACAAACTCGTAAGAAGGGTTTAAATCCCTTTTTATTCCACTTTAGAAATCACAGCTGCGTTCACTTGACGCTCACAAACTACGCCGACCCGGCGGTTTAACAAAATAGAAAAAAAATGCGACTAAAAATAAATTACAGGATGAATAAATAACGAGATCACTACTACGAGGCTCTATAATCTTCACTAACTTAACCGCGTTCTAAGATACAGCTGAGATTCAGCAACTTACTGATTAAGAAGTTTAAGAATTCAACGAACTGCCGAAATAGGCACACAGGCCGAACGCGCGGTTCTTAAAAATTCTACCCAGCAACCTTCACGCTCGCGATTCAAGAAGCACACTTACATCTCGTTCCCTTCTATTTAAACTCAATTTACTTCTGCTAAAATTTGAATACTCTGCGCGTTCTACTACAATTTACATACTCTGGCATTGGCAATTCTAGGGGAAATAAAGGCTTGACAGGAAAGATAGCTTAAAATAAATGTTAGTTTAAAATAAATATAAAACCCTACAAGGTAATGCAATTAAATGTAAAAGCACCATTTATGAACCTAATAAGTAAATGCATACGAAAGCAGTGTATATGATATAAATATCTTAAATTTGGATATAATGTATGTAAAATGTAACCAAATGTACTTAAATTTTCAATGTAATCTGTGTTCACAAATTCTGTAAAATGTGCATCCAAATGTATCATTACGCCCTTGTTTAGCCCTGTATTGCAACTAATTATTCTGGCCAAACTCTAGATAAAGGTGGACGGGGCGCTACACCAATTAACCAATTGGCAGAGGGATGGTGCCCACGCCCTCCGTCGCATATCGCATGCTAAGAAGGAAGGCCTTCCAAACAGTTTCCCCCCTCCAAAAATATACAGAGAGGGTGATTTTTTAAACTGACACTATTCAGTGTGCTCTGCTATTTAGTAAAACAGCTATCTGTAATTAGATGTATCAGGTGGAATGCCATCAAATTTAGTAGGGGGACTAATTTCGACATGGCAAAACGTCTTCATGAAAAAAGAAAAACACAATGGTTCCGAAAATTGAAGGTAGAGGAAATGTAGCACCGTTCTAGTCTACACAACTGAACATTTGCATGAAACGTAGGTACAAATTTGAAAATGCAAATTTCCGGTCCCGTAAACGACAGTAGCATTAGTAATTCAGTCTATAGAGATAAGGGGAATAACACCAAAGGATATTCCGAATGTTAGTTGGGTTCAACATGCGTCTCACTTTACCTCAGCTGTTAAGTTATTTTATCTTCATCAATCGAAAGGAACCGCCGATTTTCGTGAGTTTAGAAGTCGTAACAGTAACAACCTACGTAATTGCTGTCTATCAGTCAGTGCACCTGATTCAGAAGTTTGAAGAAACCTGCTGTTCGGTTTGGTATTGGTGCAGAAACCGGTGTCAGAGCAGACAGTTATTAATGTCGCGATTGCAGTTGTTGACGGCATCCATGGGGCCATTGTTGGTAGTAGCAGTGTCTGGAGTATTCCGCAACAATTAAATTTGAATCTTTCAGTTGTATGGTAAATCCTGCGGAAAGTCCTTCACTTCTAGCCATACAAGATAAGCTGCATGCAGGAATTAAAACACAATGATTATGATAACCGGATGTATTCGCTCTGACATTTCTTGCCTGGATGGAGAAAAATGAAGTCCAATTTGACCTAAATGCTTAAACACTCATAATTCTCGAATTTGAGCATCCAAATAATTCCATGCAGTTAAGAAAATCCCATTGCATTCGCCAATAATCGCTGTTTGGTATGGACTTCACTGTAAATGTTTTCAGCGGATCATTCGTTTTTTAGAACATTGTTGTAACAAGACCCCCAACACCAGTACCGTTACCACACAAAGGTATTACAATGTAATGACTAGTTTTGTCATTCCACAATTTCAGAAGAGGCAGTTGCCGTATCAGTTAACTTTTATGAAGATTAGAGCACCACATACATTGGTCTATCAGTACACCACTTTACAGAAGAAAGGATTTTTCGATTTGCATGGCTGCCTTGCTTCCCGGATCTTACCCCATGTATCTTTTTACTGTTCGGGGGTATTTAATATTCAAGACCTATCTTGGTAGGATCTGGACTTCGAACTTGAAGAGCAACATATCATGGGCTGTGCTGAGTATTTCTGGTGACATGTTACGTTCGATTGATGAGAATGTTGTTCACAGGATGCAATGTGTGATCTACGAAAAGGTGGTCACATTATATGAAGTCTATGTCCTCGTCAAGGAAGCACTTTTATTGAATAAAGGGCTACGGTGCACTGAAAAATTATCTCTGTAACCCTTTGGGGTAGTTCATTTGCTGCAATAAAGGAATACTACCAGAGCTTAAATTGCGCAGGAACCCGGCTCCGGTGCTTCTGAGTTTTTGGGATAAACTATAATTTTAGCCGGAGCGCATTGGAGCCCTAAATAAGAAGGCTTCGACATTTTTTTATCTCACTGAACAACAATTTCAGTAAAAATTTGATCTAAATATTTTTATTAGTAGTAGTAAAATTACATCAAAAATCGGTTATTTACACTCATGTCCATAAATTAAGGATAATGCAAAATCAGGCAAAGGAAGAGTAGAAGCAAACCAAATTTGACTTATTTGTAAAGCTTATTTATTAAACAAAAGGTAAAGAGCAAAAAAAAAGATGCTATATGTTTGATATTATTAAACAAATTAGCGATTTTTGCTCCCTGGAGCAAATAGAAAAAAAAATTCTATTTACAAAAAAATAATATTACATGTTTGGTATGGTTGTTAATACATTGTATGTCTTCCAGACGATGCAATACAGTCCGTACAACGCCTAGGCATGCTGAGTATCAAATTACCGATCTGATCTTGGGGAATATTAGAATAATTAAAAAGCAATGCTCTCCGTAGTTAAGGTAGAGATATAGGAGAAGGTTGACGGGCTGCAACTCGTCGGCCAAGCATGTCCTACTCGGGCTCTACTGGATTCAAGTCCGGTGAGAATGTTGGCCAGTCCATACGGGTGATATCCTCCGATTGAAGGCATTCACTTACGATGTTTGCACGGTGAGAACTGGCGTTGTCATCCATAAACACAAATTGTGCGGCCATGGCACCCCGAAACAAACGTACATGTTGTTCCAGAATGACGTCCCGATAGATTTCGCTTGTCATGGTTCCAATTTGAAAATGCAGGTCAGTTCTGGAACCCAGAATAATTCCACCCCAAACGAGCACTCCTGCACCACCGTAACGGTGTCGTTCAATGATGTTTTCTTGGTGGTAACGGGTACCTGGAGCTCTCCATATAAAAGTCCGTCGAGAATCAGACTGCAAGCTAAACCCGGACTCGTCGGAAAACATCACACAAGCCCACTGTTGCGGTGTCCACAATGCGTGCTCTCTACTCCAGCCTAACCGCAGGCGACAGTGAGTTGCAGTAAGTGGAACGCATCTGACAGGTCTACAAGCATATAGACCAATCTGCCTTAAGCGTCTGTACACGGTCTGCCTTGAAGTTGTCGTACCAGTGGCTGAAGAGAGCTGACGAGACAGGTCTGAGGCTGTGCTCCGCCTGTTTCTTTTGCAGTAACTGCCAAATACCGGTCCTCATTCGGCGTTGTAACTCTGGGGCGAATGTGCTGTAACGTCTACTCACATTACCATCATCTTGGAATCGTTGCCAAAGCCTGGAGATGACACTCTGGGCAATTCCAAGTTCGTCTGATACTTCCAGTTGGGTACGCCCACATTCCAGACGGCCGATAATTCTACCAGGTAAAAAATCATCCAAAATGCGTCCTTTGTGTCATAACTATTCGGTTATTGCACTGAAATTCTTATAAAGCGCCTGCGAACAATTTTACTTCTTTGCCTGTATTCCTTATATATCACTCTCTTACACTCTCGTCATTGTGACGTACCATCGGTGTCATCTGGTTACTTTCTGAAATTTGCATATGCTTCTTGAAGATGTGTGTAGTGATTTTACAGATGATATATTTATTTTAGAGTTCGATTTCCGCGTGACTCCGAATTATTCTTAGGCCCACCAACGGCCGAACGGTAAAGACGCTGAACACTGGTAGTTCGGTCCGAGGTTCGAATCCCGCGAACGGGCTGGCTGCATGGGCGTTTTCGTGGTTTTCCCCATGTGTAACGTGTATACGAGCCAGTTTCCCTTAGAAAGTCCTCCACGAAAGGCATCCCTCCCCTTAGGCAGATAGCCCTAGTGTGCTTTGCCATAATTAAATACACCACACCACACCGAATTATTCTTAATTTATGGACATGAGTGTAATTTTAATTTATCTCTAGCCTTCTTTGAGAAAATAAAAAAAATCGACTATATTTTATCCCTAAGTCCAGTTAGAGTTCAAACTGCGGCATTATTGGAAAACATATCTTTCGTTTATTTGAATAAAACACTGAAATTGTTGACAATACAGGAATGCTCCAAAAACTAAAAAATGCTTTTGCTCATTTAGAAGTACATTATAAAAAATTAATTACGAAATCACTGTGGGTAGGAAGTTGAAAATATGGAAATCTAACTATATTTGGCGATGTAGCACTACATTGGAGATTTCAGAAAAATTTCTTTAGAAAATTCGAAACTGGAGACAAGTTCGACAGAAATTTTCTGTTGGTGATCGCAATGTCCGTTTGTAATATTTTTTCCGGTTAATCTTCGGATTATGGTAACTTGACGATTTTTTGGCGAAAATTTGGCGACCAACCCTGCTACAGCAACCTGCTAGTTTTTTTTTTTTTTTTTTGGACGCCATTTTTTTTTTTTTTTTTTTTAACTCAACATTTTTTTCCAACAATCTGCTAGCCGAATACGCTTATGCTAGAACTTTTATGGAACAAAAGTGCTTAATCATGACGAAGATTAGGTGCGAAATTGGGAGAAAGTGGAGAATCGCCCACTGCTCGCCGCGTTTTTAAGAATTGCACATACACGGTATCATCCATGTACACGTCAACCTATTTTCACTTAAAAAAAATTCCAGAATTGCACAAAAATGGCACTGCGTACACTCTTGACTTTATCCATGTACACTGCTAAAGTCCTAGCTAGTAACCTTTATCGCCTTACCAAAATGTCGCCAAACCTGTTACCATATTCCAAAGATTTGCCTTTTTTCCTGATTATCAGTCAAACAACTGCAGCTAATAATTTCACTATCATGTATTTCTAAATAAGTTGTCTCATATGTATTTTCTTGTAAAATGTTATCAGCTCAAAACTGAAAAACCTTCCTTGTTAAAGGTTTTCTTAACGAACCTTTCAGAACACTCCAGGGTTAATGTTTCAGAAACTGTTTGAACCTTTCAGAACACTCCAGGGTTAATGTTTCAAAAAAAGAAGTTAAGTAACCTTCATCAAATCTGATAACGGATAAAAGAAAGTAACATTTATCAAACCTAATAATGAATATATTTATGGAAGATTTTGAAGAAGAAGCATGTATAATGCTTATATGGAGCATTATACTGAAATATTATACTATATTATTATATAACATTATACTGGAATGGCCTCATTATTAAGAAACTTTTATAATTCTCCTTTTGATTTCTTTAATTTAAACTGAAGTTTCCCAAATTGATTTTTTTCCTTCTTAATTTCAGTGGGACCTTGTCTGCGACAGAAAATGGCTGACTTCTGTAGCGAAGTCCATTTACATGTTTGGACATCTTGTTGCTTGTGTGGCATTTGGACAACTTTCAGATCGGTAAGAGTTCATTTATAATCTGAAAGTGCTGAATTTTAGACTATTTAGTTCACTCATTTAATGTAAATGACGTTGGAATTTTTCATAAGACCAAATAAACTGAATTTGATAAATAAGTAGATATAAATAATTAAATGTGAGCATATAATAAACTATTGAAAACCAAAACATTTTAATAAAATTCTAACACTACTTTCTACTTTAAGTTTGTTTTCACCTTACCACATAAGAAGTATTTTTATTTAAGGTGAAGCTCATTTCAAAGTTTAACATATTTCAGTACAGAAACATGATTTTGAGAATATAAATTAATTGATGTTTTAGATTACACATTCCTAAGCTATATAAAATACTTATACAAAATTTAGAATTAAAGCATTTTGTTTTGGTTCTTTTCGTAAAGAATTTCAATTAAGTAGAAGAAATTTTGTCAAACCTCATGCAGATTTTATGTTAAAAAAATCTGTGTTTTAACTGTTATATCTCTACAGCAGAAGTTTGTTCTAAACCTGACATTAATCCATGAAAATAAACATTACAATTATGTTTATGATGAATTACATTTTCACCTGTTAATTTACATAACAATGCTAACTTTTTACAGGCTCTAAATATTATTTTAAACAAGAATTATAGTTTGTTCTTCATTTAAATTTCAATAAACTAAAATAGCTCATTATTGGAGTTCTAGTGCTTATTTCGTTTCAACAGACGGTTTGTTTAAAATTTTTAAATATATTATTATTTATTATTCTATGTATATTATTAATTTCTACGTATTAATATTTATTATCCCTTTCAGGGGCACAATGTTATGATAAGCATAATGACATGCAATCGTCCTATAGACAACATAAATAAGTTTTAAAAAAATTTTTTCGTCCCCCTTTATGGAAAGGGGACCGGTTTCGCCTTGAAACCAGCGCCCGTCTAGAGCATTTAAGACAAAACATTTGCTTATTTATCTTAACTTTGCTGGAAAGAATCTGAGCGTAACCCAAATTGCAGATCATACTAGTAAAATGGGTCAAAAAGGATAGTGAGCAAAACAAGCATTTTTTGAATGATTCACGTTAATTAATGGATGCTCAGAAAGGTGTGGTGCTGCCATCTGTTATCAGCTTTAAGAAGTAATAATTTTAGCAGCGGTTTTGAGAAAAAGAAACCAAATTTTCTAAATTAAAAAAAAATGTTGAAAATACGGTTTCAAGGCGAAACCACCGCCCCTGAAAGGGTTATTCTATACTTATTTTTAATTTAGTAGCGTTAATTATGTTTTATTATTCTATATTTGTTATTAATTTACAGTGGCTCACAAAAATGATCGGGCACTTTGATTTTTTTGTATTCTTTAATGAACATAAAAATTAAAACAAATTAAAACGAAAAGAAAGGCTTTAGGGAAAGGAATATTTTAATTATATATAAATTCAAAATTTTTTGTAGTAAACACATTTTCGAAAAGATGAAAATTAAATTCCAAAATCAATAGAATTTTTTTAATGAGGAAAAATATTCTCACAAAATAATCGGACACTTTTAGTAACAGCCAAAAACAACAAAAACATACATTGATTTTGCTTCTTAATATTTTTTAGGATAACCTTTACACTTCAATTAATCGTTAGGGAATTAACTCCGCAAGTCTTTTTTTTTTTTTTTTTTTTTTTTTTTTTTTTTTTTTGTTTGTTTGTTATTTCTGGACTTATTTTACGCCACTCCTTTTGAATGACTGCTTTCAGTTGCTGCCGCGAAGATATGCTCAGTTTTTGAATTTTCGATTCTAGTTCTTTCCAAATAGGTTTAATAAGATTAAGACCTGGCGATTGGGGTGGTGCCTTAATTACTTCTGGACCTTAATTACTTACGTAACAAGCAGAGTCTGACACTGTGCGCAGTATGCTTTGAACCGTTGTCCTGGTAGAATTTAAAACTATTTTGTATATTAAGTTTTTGTGCTGACGATGCTAAACTTTGCTTCTAGATGTCAAGGTATTTATACTGATCCATTATACTATCTACAAACTCTATATTAACCAACACCGGAATGTGCCATAGATCCCACTACCATAACTCCTCCTCGGCCATGTTTAACACATGGTTCTAAGTTTTGGTTTGCTTCACACCAAAAGAAGCTTCGTTCATCTGAGCCGAAAGATGTTAAATTTGCTTTCATCAGCAAACAATACTTTTTCTAGTAGTCGGTGCCCTATGTTTCATTGATTTTGTGAAAGCGAGGTTAAGTTTTCGGGCTTTTTTACCGACATAAAATTTTCTGCGTCTACTCGCGCATGGTATCCTGCAGATCACATAACTCTTCTCACAGTAGAAACTGTGAGACCAGCGCAACAAGATTGGGAGCACTCAGTCTTGGATTCTTTTTAATATTCCTTAGAATAAAGCGTTTCATTCCATGCGATAACTTAGATGGTCTTCTAGGTCTTCTTTTGTTTTGAACACGATTCTGTATCTTATAACGCTTAATAATACACAAAACTGTAAAATCACTTAAATTAAGTTCAAATAGGCAATTTTTCTCATAGGTTTCCCTTTCATTTGATGCAAATCAATAACTAATCTTCGAATTTCTAACGATGTTTCCCTTCGTGACCGAGCCATAAGCAAACATTAAAATAACGAATATTTTCTAAAAAAGAGAATTCGAATAATAAAAGCAAACAGTTTTTGGAGTTTTGCCGAGCTTCTTTATCCAAACTAATTCCATAAAATTTCGTTTTTTATTTACTGAAAATGATTTTAATTAAAAATTATGAAAAAGTCCGATCGAAAATTTTGTGGTATCTTTTTCTTCCATTTCAGTCTAAAACGCTATTTTTTAAATTTACCATTTCGTTTTCCAAATTTATTCAGTACAAGGAGATATGTATTCAAAGGGAAAGTATTCTTTGTTAGTTTACTGTAAAGCTTTCCTCCTATTACTTAAAAAAAGTAAAAATATTATTGTGCCCGATCATTTTTGTGAGACACTGTATATGCATTATTATTATACATTATTCCATATTTAATATTAATTTAAATATTGTTATTATTTATTTTTCTATATTTATAATTAATTTATAAGTATTATTCATTATTTTACATTTATTATTACTTTATATGCATTGTTATTCGTTATTCTATGCTTAATATTAACTTATATGTATTATTATTCATTATTCTATAATGAATATTAACTTATATGTATTATTATTCATTGTTCTGTATTTATTTATAATTTATACATATTTTTATTCATTATTATAGATTTACTATTAATTTATATGTATTAATATTTATTATTTATATTTATTATTATTTATAAGTATTATTATTATTTATTATTCTATATTTATTATAAGTATTACTATTCATTATTCAATATTTAGTAGTAATTTATATGCATTATTGTTCTTTGTTCTATATTTGTTATTAATTAATGATATTGTTTTTCATTATCTTGTATGTATTATTAATTTATGAGTATTTCTGTTCATTATTCTATATGTATTATTATTCATTATTCCATTTTATTATTAATTTAAATGTATTGTTGTTTATATTCTATATTCAATATTAACTTATATGTATTTTAGTATTCATTATTCTACATTTTTTATTAACTTATAAGTATTATTTTTTCGTTATTAACTTATATGTATTATTGTTTTCATTATTCTATATTTATTATTAATTTTATTTATTATTAATTTATTTATTCTATATTTTTTTATTTTATATTATTTATCAAATTTAGTTCTATACGTTATAAAAAATTAAAAGTTCCATTTCAAATTTTATTGTGATTTATAAAACAGAGTCGATATATTACTTGCTTTGAGTTTTAAAATATACTCTTTTCTCCTAGGATAGGTCGCCGGCCTGTCATCCTGTTGTGCTACTTCTTGTTCTTTTGGTGTTCCGTGGCGACAATCTTCGTCAACTCGATTGGAATATTCATTTTTCTAAGATTTTTCTTAGCACTGGGTGTCACTGCTGCGTATACAACAGCATTTGTCATTGGTATCCATATCTGGTGTTTCTTCGAATTTATTAAAATAGTACTAAAGCAGTCTGTGTATAATACAGTTATCGCTGTCCGTAATTTCATCGAACACATACTCGTATAATGCAATTAAAAAAATGGCGACATCCATTTCTAATTCGATAGGGGACGACCAGGGCTCGAGCAGTAAAATCGGCGAATACACGTTACACATGCGGGAAACCACGAAAACGCCCATGCAACCAGCCCGTTCGCGAAATTCGAACGTCGGACCGAACTACCAGTGTTCAGCGTCTTTTACCGCTCGGCCGCTGATTGGCTCGAGACATAAATAGAAACGATTTTGTTGGTTAGAGTGGCTCTTATTGTGTATCTTTTGGTGTTAAAAACATTAGTCTTTTTTTAAGACATATTACATTACATAACGCTACTGCAGTTAATCATTTCCCGCTGCAGTGTAAATTGCTAGATTTGAAAAGTATTGCACCCCGCTAATTGGCGAGTTGTTAAGAACGCTGAATGCTGCCGGTTTGAATCCAAAGTAACAAGCTGGTTGAAGGATAGAGTTTCGTCTTTTTCGTCATGTGTAACGTGAATAGAAGCCAGTTCCCATAAAAAGCCCTCCAGGAAGGCAACTCTCCCACCAGGCAGATAGCCTTCGCGTGGTTTGCCATATTTAAATAACCTAACCTAATGTAATATGAAAGCTGTTGATATTATCTGGACATAAAAATCTTAATTAAGCTTTCAAAATGTAGGAGTACATTGCGTATCAAAGTAATAAAAGGAGCTGTATGAAAATATTTTAAATCTTGCCTGTAAATGTGCTTGCCATCTCTTAAGAAAAACTGTGCAAATGTTACCTAATCTGACTAAATTATCGAATTTATTCATTTTCCTAACTCTATCAGTCTTACAAGAATTTTTTGATAGATAGCCTTAAATTCCGGATTAACCGTTTTTACATATTTTAATTTCTTATTTAACTCTAAGGAGCCTTAAACATAATTTTTATATTTAAAATGAGGATAAGAATTTGAATTCAAGAACCAGAAGTAAAAACTGCAATTCATGTAAAATTTTAATCGTAGAAAATAAATTTAAAAAAACAAGATGTAATTTATTAGAATGTTTTATTGTTTCAAAATTTTATAAAACATATAACTAAGCAAAAACCTTCTTCAGTATACAAAACAATTGCGCTAGATAATACAGAACTTAATGTTCTTTAAGTAACTATAAAGTTCCAAACTGCTATGATAGTGGTTGGCATAATGAAGAAAAGGTTAAACTCAATGTCTTTCTCAGAATTGGAAACGTTACTTCTCTTCCCAGAAAAAAATAGAAATAAATATAGAATTAATATATTTTATGCCAAGAAGTAGGAAAGCAATCAAAAAAACGATTTCTCGACTCTCATGTGAATTTTTGGCTTGTACTACATAGAACCAACGTTTGTTATTTTTCTAGCTGCTGAAGATGATAGCCCATTATATTGTCGAAATAAGTAAACTTTTTCATTTAATACCCCTCACATTTTCATCCCTCACAACATAGTTTGGTTGCTGTAATCTTCTTAACTGCTTCTTTCAATGAAAGATGGACGCACATGTTATAAAATTATTCTCATATAATTTTCTGCTTTTTGAGACTGGTTAGTTTGTTACAGAAACGCGGCAAAGAACACTCAGCCGCTATCTGCCTAAATCGAGGGATGACTTCGTGGAGAGCTTTCTAAGGAAAACTAACTCGTATTCACTTTATACATAGGGAAAACTACAAAAAATAATCACACAGCCAGCATGTTTGACAGTGGTTGAATTCAGGATCGAATTTACAGTATTCTACTTGTTGCGATTCGATCTTTTTCGCGAGCAATGATCACTTTTTTATTTGCGTTAGCATATTTTTAAAATGCGACAGGAAGTTATTTTGATGTGGATAATAGTTAAGTAATTTATTACAGGACAACAATTTGAGGCTATTTGTTATACATTTAAGCGAACCTTTGCACAGTGAATGAACACGAAATGAATTTTCATAGAAAAAGAATAATTCCAGTCAATCTAGTATTTACTTATACTTTTGTCTACGTATGATGGAGACTCAATTTTTAGCTGAAAGAACACGACTCTCAGTAGACTTAAGGATTATGTGAAAAGCCTTAGGTATTTAAAAAATTGCTACCTTTCTTTTCTAATAACGCTCAACCCAAATTTATATAATCTTAAGTACAATTTATGTAAATTTTAAGTAATATGTATTCGATGTTTTTTAGTCTTCCTTGAACTAGGCCAACATAAATGATTTAGAAATTAAGTATTCCTCCTAGGCCACTTGCAATTAACGGTGATCGGATTTCACTAGTTATAGCTGTAACTTTCTTTTGAATTATCCCATTTTTTGAATTTTTTGACAACTGAATTTTGAATTTTTTTTTTTTTTTTTTTTTTTGTATGCGTGAATTATATGTTCATAGGTATTTTAAGAGAAGAATGATCTAGAAAACTGTGCAAGTTTTCAAATTGTAGGAATAATTTTGCCATCTATCATAATATTAATAAGCATTTATTCCTTTTTCAGTAATGGAAGTCATGGGTTCAGAGGTGCGACCCCTGTATGGAGTAGTTGCTAAGTTTGGTTGGACGCTTGCTTACGTATCTTTGCCAATTGTCGCATGGTTCATCCGAGACTGGCGTCAGCTGCAGATTGCCATAACTTTACCATGGGTGGCAATGATTCCGATGTGGTGGTAAGCCATTCTTTGATTCTTAATTTTTCCTCAGTTTCTTGTGTAGTTTAGCAAAACAGCAAGAAAAGAATTCCAAATTCAGTCATTAATCAGTAAAATAATTGCACAGGTTTCTTGGTTACCATGGGCAACAATGATGCTTATGGTGTTGGTAAGCCATTCTTCGATTTCTAAATTTTCTTTAATGTCTTGCGGAGCGAGCAACAAATTTCAAATTCAATCATTAATCAGTAAAATAATTGCACGGGTTTCTTTGTTACCATGGGCAACAATGATTCTTATGGTGTTGGTAAGCTATTCTTCGATTTCTAAATTTTTCTTAATGTCTTGTGGAGCCAGCAACAAATTCCAAATTCAGTCATTAATCAGTAAAATAATTGCACAGGTTTGTTGGTCACCATGGGCAACCAATGATTCTTATGGTGGTGGGAAGCCATTCTTCGATTTTTAAATTTTCCTTAATGTCTTGTGGAGAGAGCAACAAATTCCAAATTCACTCATCAATCAGTAAAATAATTTCACAGGTTTGTTGGTTACCATGGGCAACAATGATTCTTATGTGGTGGTAAGCCGTTCTTCGATTTTCCTTGTGGAGCGAGCAGCAAATTCCGAATTCAGTCATTAATCAGTAAAATAATTGCACAGGTTTGTTGGTCACCATGGGCAACCAATGATTCTTATGGTGGTGGGAAGCCATTCTTCGATTTTTAAATTTTCCTTAATGTCTTGTGGAGAAAGCAACAAATTCCAAATTCAGTCATCAATCAGTAAAATAATTTCACAGGTTTGTTGGTTACCATGGGCAACAATGATTCTTATGTGGTGGTAAGCCGTTCTTCGATTTCTAGATTTTCCTTAATGTCTTGTGGAGCGAGCAACAAATTCCAAATTCAGTCATTAATCAGTAAAATAATTCCGCAGGTTGGTGTTCAAACATGCCAACCACAAAAGGCTGTACCACTTTCAGTTTTACTTAACTTTTCTTTACCTTACGATAATAGATCGTTTAGTGTAAAATCGTTAGATAAATTCACTGCATTCTCAGTAAAAGTGTTCTTAAAGAAATGACGTCAGAATCTGAATCATAGTTTTCACCTGTACAAATAATTTTATTAACTCTTCCGCAAAGGCAGTAGCGAAGAAAAACCGCCCACGCTATAGGAAATGCAAAACTGTTCTTAAAATTGTTACTAAGAAAGACTTAAATTGTTCTGCTTAAACCAGGTCTGTCACTTTTCTATGTCGCTGCGATACTTGATCCCTACCATCTGTCTGCCATCATATGCTGTTTCAGATATTAAGATGCATAACAAATATATGAATGTATTAATCACTGATATATTAGATATCAAGATGCATAACAAATATACGAATGTAAATAAAAATAATAAACTCCCAAGTACACTTTTTCACATAAATACATACAAGCAAATGTATAACAAATGTACATATTAGAGTATAAGATTGTATATTAGAGTATTTGCATTTTGAATTCAATAATATAAATTAGTCTGATAAATTTCAAATCGTAAGAGTACACGTATGAATGTACGCAACAAATTTAAGAATAAATAAACTGTTGTTATTTATCTTTTTTTAAGCACAGAACTAATTCCCTCCCTAGATTTTTTTTCTATTTTCTTACATAGCTATTGTAATAAGGCGAAAAGAAATTATTACTATAAAAATCTTAGAAAAGCCTAAGGATGTTTTTTTTTTTTTTTTTTTTTTTTTTTTTTCCCAGTTTTCAGTATTTTTTCTCTGCTACAAATTGACATTTTTGTATAATGTTTCTCTTTTACATAGAATATGATATTTTTAGTCAAAAAATATGTTTTAATAAATTGAAAATTTCTGTTTTTGAAAACACATAGTAAATCCTTATATTAAAGGATTTTGATCTTTTAATTGAGAATGCTTCTTCCCAGTCAAAACTTTTGCAAAGTTAGATTCACTTACTTCATTCCATATTAGTTATAATTCAATACATACACTGCTACAGGAAGGGTACTGTTTAGACAGCTGTCAATACTGACTTCCTGCAGGTAATTTTCTGATCTGTATCATTTCATTAATACATTACATCAAAAAATCCAAAATCCAATTTTTCGTTCTATTTGATAAACATAATGAATAACAATTTTTTTCTTTGAGAATAAATAACAATCTCACGCAGATTCAAGCATTTATTGGAAATGGCAGCAGTTATGTTCATTTCATATTGAAATATCGTTACTTATGTTTTACAGTTACTATGCAGATTGAAGTTTAAGTAACATACAGTACCATTTGATGTAAAATATGATTAAATATTAGAACAAAATTAATGTCCTTATTAACTGGAACGTATTCGCTGCGATACTTGATCCCTTCCATTATGCGTACTAGAAGCTTGGGATTAAATTATTACATATTCTGAATATATTTAATTAATTTGTTTTTAATGTTTCTTTAATTATTGATGTTAATTACTGTTTAATAGCGGCTTCTTTTAAATAAAATGACATTAAATAAGGAAGGTTGATTTACTTTGAAAAATTACACAAGTATTGCATGGGTCGGTATTTTAAAATAATTCACAATTAATTTTTTTAATTTGAAACTAGTAGAAAGTTCTGCCATCAAAATATTTATTTTTAAGAAAGTTGCATTTGCCATATTTGGAAAGTCACTTTAGATGTTAAAATAAAATGGCCTATAAATGACTATGAAATGTTACTTTTCACTAGAAAGTATGATATTAAATGTGCTGCCAGATTTCAAAACTCTGCAAAACAAAAAGATTTTCGTATAGGTTTTCTCAGGGATCATATAGCTTTAGTTATAAAATGCTCTCAATCTTCTCCACTGAGTTTTTAACCATACAATTGTAGAGACATTAGGTATTTTTTGGAAGCAGGCAAGATGAAAAATGAGCGGTCGCCTTCGCCTGGAATCGAACCACGGACCTCTGAAATACCGCCCAGCGTGCAGAACTACTACACCACGAAGGTGAGAGAAATACCTTAAACAATTGGTAACAGTATTGCGTCAATTTTTATCTTTTAAAAAATCTGATGTGTACACCACATGACTTCCTTGTACGGAATATTAAATTATACGCATTTTTTCTTGCATTTCAATTAACTTATTAGATTCAATTAAACCTACTTCGCCGACAGCGCATAAACCACAATAGAATACATGCATTCTTTAAAATTCACTTTGTTTACCATAGCGACACTCTGGCGCTAGGTTTACTTAACAGTATTATATTTCGTTCATATTATAACTCAGAATGCACAAAATTTATATCATTTAAAGAATTATCTAATCGTTGCCACATGTTCTATTCAAATACTATAATATATCTTGAATGATGTATAAAAGAAATTAAGCAAATAAAACAAAAAAAAGAAACAGTTTTTCACAGACGATTGAGTATTTATCATTCAATTAATTCAGTTCCCACTTCGCGACAAGGCAAAAATGCATAAAAACTCAAAATATCCGTATTAAAAATTACGAAGTAAATCTTAAATACTTATTTCCACGAAAAAATTCCAGAAAGGATTAAGCAGGATTTAATTCGCAATAATAAATGAAGGCGTTATTTTTGCGTTGCGAAGCTTAGTCTCTCTAGATTGGCAACAAATCTACAATTGTGCTGTTTCAAATGTAAACAAATATGTCCGCCATGTTATTTAAAACTTAACCGCTCTTAAACAGCTTTTAAATTGTTGATAATTGTAGAAATATTGCTTCCAGAATTACGAAAGGCATAAAAACTTTAACCGGAAGATAAAAACAACATATTCAATCATTTTTAAAGCAAAAAATGTAGAATTTACAAATATATAAGAGTAAAGAAACTGAGATCACTGAGCCGGGTAACAGAGTGGATATATTTATAAATATATTTATATACGTTTGGCGCGGCCGATTGAAACAAAAATACGAGGTGCACATCTACATGTTATAGTAGTCTTATATACAAAATTTCATAGTTCTGAGGCTACTCGTTTTTTGAGTTACGCGAGATACGTACGTACGCACGCACGTACATACGTTCGTACAGACGCCACGAAAAAATTCTTTTCAGAATTCATTTTAAAGCAGTTTTTTTTAGGTTTTTTTTTTTTTTTTTTTTTTTTTTTTTTGGAGGAAAAAGTCCTTTTATTTTTTCTGTCCTTACGTATAGATATCACGCAAAAACATCGTTAAATTGCGTTCGAAAGCGGTGAAAGTGGATATTTTCGTTGAAATATGCTGCCTGAAGCTTTTCACGATTACAATACTTCCTTTTTACTTCGTACATTTTCATTATTTCACGTTTACTTTGCTACTGATATTAATGCCATGGTAATTAGGGAAAATGATTAGCCTAAAGATGCTCGAAACCAGTATTGTCGATTAAGAGAAATTTTGACAGTTGTAGCTACCTTTTTACTCATAACTTTAAGTTGTATGATATCGCTATTTAAATCTAGGTCTTCACGGAAAATTTTTATGGTAGCCTTTCACGGAAACCGTTTCTCAAGTTTGTTATTCATTTACTATGTGGACCTTTGAAATGTTATTTAAGCAAGTTTGAACTGAGAATAGTTTCAACTTGTATGTGAATAGAGATAAGATATAGCTGACACATAAATACCGATCAAATTGTTCAGTTTTATAAAATTTCTTTAAAATATTAAAAAGTGAAAAAAATTTGGAAGTTTGGATATATCGTTAAATCGAGATTTAACGATATATCCAAATTCGAAGAAACCCGCGTAGCTAGGTTACCATTTTCAATTACTACAAAAACTTGAACGCCAAACACTAATCGATTATCGCTCAGATTGGGATCATGTGATGATTCAGAAGCAGAACTTTCGTCTGATTGGTTGTCTCTACTCGGGACAGAGGTCCAGCCGAGACATTTTCAGTGAGTTTAAAAAAAATCCCGTGTAACCGCAACATCGTTTCCGTTGCTAGGCGGGACTTCGCTTCAGGCGGGGCTCGTTTTTCTAGGAATCCTCCCGGTTAAATCAGTGCCTCCAGAATCCCGTTTCTCAAAGTCCCGTCTAGTCGGGACAGCAGCGAAGTGTGATAACCTCTTACGTAAAACAAATGAGTTTAAGAGCACAAAAAGTATAAAGCAACAAGATACTCAACACAAGCTAACAAGATACTGAACACGAGGAAGAAGAAAATAAGGAAGTTAAACAAGAAATTGAACATCAAGTAAAATGGGCTGTTATTTATTTTTAAATATTTTTATGTTCTTGTAAAAATATATCCCGTTTTTCAAAGAATGCAGTTTAATGCCATGTTTGCTGAAAATATTAATTCACTGTTTTGCTTCTCATAACGTGATTTTAATTAAAATAGACTCTTTATTTATTTACTGTCTTCTTTGTGAAGAAAAACTTTTTCTCGTATTCTTAAGATTATACTTTCACATTTTCTTGCGAAAGCTATATCCATGATTGTTTATCAAGCTGTGATCAATCAAGCTGGATTCATTTCTTGTTTATCAAGCTGGATGTAAGAGTGATGAAAAGCATATAAGGTATTGTTGCGTTTTCCTCTTTCTGACACCAGTTGTTACGTTATTTTCTTCCGTCACGTTCGTATGGGGTTTGTAGATTTGGAGTGAATAACAACGACACTCGATGAAGTATCGAAACACACTTTATTTAGCCAATATTAATCAGGACAGCTCCAATAACACTTTTTACAGTCGTCGAAAATCTACTATAAACACTCTGGAGCAATCAGCGACACAGCCTTCAGGCAATAACGATGGAGATAGCTTCACTGCAGAGCACCAGAGTACAACTTCCGACTTTGTTTGGTCGTTCTCGGAACTCCACATGCTCTCGAGACTCTCCACGCGATGTACTCGACGATACACAAGAGTATAGCTCTCGACTTAGCACAGTCTAAGACAAAACTCGACGATGCACTAAAAGACTCTCTCGATGCATTCGATGAACAGCTCGGCGCTAGACTTCGAGACACTCACTCAATGACTGACTATGAGCTTGCTAGACGAGGCACACACACTAACTGACTGCGGACGAGCAAGGTTTATATAGCTTTCGGCTTGTGTTCGAGAACATTCTGGGCTAAACCGATAAGAATTCGTTCCAGAAGGTTCTCCATCCGTCCATGGCATATCGCCAATTTTGTCGTCAAATGTCTCCAAATGGGCGATTTCTCACCAAATGTGGCAACCCTGCTTCCCTTGCAATTTTTTTATGGCAACCCTAAAATTGCTTTGCGGGGGAAGCCATCTCACAGCGTCTGTACATTTCGTAACAGTATTTTCTCCCTCCTTCCAGCACGATAACTCCTTCCAACTTAACAGTAGCACTCCTTCTTCGTGGTGTAACGGTAGCACATTCGGCGCATATTCGAGAGGTCCGACGATGGCATTGCTCATTTTTCATGTACACATGCTTCAAAATAATCTAATTACTTTATAAGCATACATTCAGAGACAACGAAGAATAAAAATCAAATTCAAAATTACACGTAAAGATGTAATTATTTCAACGGAATACAAGTAATGATTATTTTCTTGTCAACAATATCCAGTGCATCTTTTCTCAATTATATTTCTGAAATTTATTCTTGTTTATGATCCTGATAATGTTGAACAGCTTTTCAAATAAATTGGTTGTAGTAGAAGTGAAATTTTACGAATTGACAGAGAAGGATTTAGGATTTACTTTAGAATACTAAGAACTCAATTTGCATTTTGTTTTATTGAACACTTTGGAAAACTCTTTAATAGAAAGCAAATCTTCATTAATTCAGTTATTAAATAAGTTACTTCAGTGCGTAGAAAAAGAATACCCCTACACCTTGAAACTATCTAAACTGCAATTTTGCTTTATTTTAATTTGGTGTGCTATTAGAATAGAAAAGTATGAATTTTAGGGAAGTTGAACACAGGACACTTCTGTAAGGAAAAAATATTCTGTAATAATTTTGTGGGGTTCTTTTACTTAAATTAAGTATGGAAATAATTTCGTTTCTTTTTTAAAGATCATGTTGCTTACAACATGACGTAGAATAGTTATGTTCGTTACAGAAGATGGACTTTCTTTGATGTGTATGAAGGGTTTTTTAATACACTAACGCCTGATCTAAAGTTTGCATAATTTGATACGAGTAACTTTAGATCAGTTTAATTAATTCAACATCATATGTATTGTCTTTGAAAGAAGGCGCACAATTTTCTGAAAATACCTAATAAAAAAAAAAAAAAAAAAAAAAAAAAAACTCCGAATTTGTAGTGGTTCTTTTAATTTTATGTCTTTCTTTAATTCTAAATGGTTTAGCAAGTTAAAATAAGGAATATATCTGCGTTTTTCTCTTAGGAAGATGTTCAAGGATAAAATCTAATCAGTTTTCCAAAATAATATTTCAGAAAAAATTTACTAGACTGCGTTTCGTATTTTTTTAAAATTTCATGATAAAAATCTCAGTTATTAACAGCTCAGTTATCTCATAACAGTTATCTCAGTTATCCATTTCTTTAACAGGTACCTGGAGGAGTCTCCCAGATGGCTTTTGACTACGGGTCAGGTTGAACGGGCCGAGGTTTTACTGTTGGAGGCCTGCGAGAAAAATGGGAAGAGGCGAGAAGAAGTACAAGTCCCTATCTTGAAATTGTGTTCCAGAACACTGAAGGCAGGTAGGAGGCGACCTCGCCCGTAGTTAAGGCATTCACGAGCCTTCATTCGAAAATTGAGATATCTGTTTAGTATAGTTTTATGCTTAAGTCTAATACAAATACAGTCTATTTGCACAAATTAACAGTTTATTTTATCTTGATTAATTTACAACATGTATGATACTTTTTTTTAATGGCGGGCACTTGCTTATAACGGCATTGGCCACTACTAAGGCCAGAAGTGGTGGCCATTTTATTGTGGAGGCACCTAATAGGCGGCCACCGCTACTTCCTTTTAAGGGATAGACAATTTTACATCCATGCCTTCTCCGGGATTCGAATTCGGGCTGTAAGGTGTCGCAGCCAGTCCCCCCTAACCACTATACCGTCTGGACGGCACATGTTTGATACTGATTAACACAGAGAGTTGTTCGTAGTCATTCTACACTGAAAGGCAACAAGATCAGACGTATATATTTTCCTTCGTGCTCGGGAAGTTACTTTGACTGTAGTTACTGGAGATGCAGTTTATATAGAGTTTATATAGAGTTTATATAGACAGTTTTTATAGAGGCATAGATGTTGTCAGTACTGTCAACACTTTCTAACAGATATTGCCATGAAACATTTGTTTAGAGATACGTACTAAATAAAGTTTATAATCTTAATAACATTAATAATTTATCGAAGGTTTATTATTGCAATTAGATTAATAATTTCTTGGTAAAGTTTAAATCTTGCAAGTACGGAAAGCGTAATGGCAAACTGCACATTCAGCTGATCAATGTTAAACGAATTTCGCATACTGCGCATGCCCAGAAGAGAATTTGGCACAATTACGACTTTGGTACAGTCAAGTAGACAAATACGGCGTATCATTGATATTCTGATATCTGGGCGTAAACAATTCGGGGTTTTAAAACTTGTTAGGTGTAAGTTGCTTCATTACTTAGAGTAAAATATCGATTGTGAACAATGCAAATTTTCGTTTAAGAAACAGGAAACATTACGCGATAGATTAGCTGAATCTTTATTGATTATACTTGTGAAGAATAAAAGCAATTGCGTATTTACCGTAAGTTCCATTCGTATATACCTTAACAAATTAAAGAATAAGTCCAGTTTAAATTTCTGAATTAAAGGCAAGGAAATTATTATAAATAACTGATATTAAATGTAACGTTTATGAACAAAATAAAGAAAAATAAAATGAAAGATAAGTAAATGCATTAAGCACAAACAAATTTCGGTAATATTGCAATTGTAAACAGTCGATAAGAATTACAGAGTTGTGTAGGGTTGCTTATGGCCCTCCCTTAAGTCGCCAGTATTTCCTCCCACGCCAACGGTACACTACTGAGCATGCGCAGTAAGTGAAATTCATTAACATTGATCAACTCAATGTGTGGTTTGCTATTACCCGTATGGATCCTCACTGAATCTGTTCTGTGTCATCGATGCACTATTCTGTGATGTAAACCATTACTTCTATGTAATGTTGATTTGAAAAAGAAAGTTAAGTGATCTGCAATGTACGTCACTTCTCTAACTCCACTAAGCATTCTTCCGTAGTCCAACAAAACATGGAACACATCCCGATAGAGTTACCGTTAGCTTTCAGAATATTTTGTCGATAAACTGGATTCATAGTCTCACATGAACGCATTTATTCTTCTGCTTTATTCTCATGAATATGCTTATTCGTGCAAAACAGCTGAAAATCTACTTCGGCCATTTCTTTCATGTAAAACAATTTTGCGAAAATTACATTTCTTGAAACAAACATTAATATCAAAATCCTCATTTTAACAAAATATACTAAAGTTTTCATATGTATAAAATATCGACTTACATATACAGTATTCATCTTATTTCTTGTAGCGTTTTCTATAGAAATTATTTCATATAGAATACTATTGTAATGTAGCAAAATGTAGCATAGTATGTAACTGTGCAATATAAATTTACATTTCATATAAAATAAAGAAAATTAAAGCATTTTATATAATGTAAATTCCAAACTCGTTTGCGAGTTTGGAAGACATGCTAATGAGCCCAACGGCAAGCTTGGCTATTTACTGATTTTCGACTGACTGTTACTTAATTTATAATTTCAGAAATGTTATCATACGCTCACTTTTCATAGCAATTATCACTTTAAAGTGAACGGAAATCAACTTGTTTCAGTGCTTGTATGTTGTTAATATGTAGCCTTTAACTATAATAACTTTATCAAGGATGGAAGTTCGTAAGCAATACAGAATGTATCAAAACATAATATAATGTCACAAAAACCATGACCACAAGAGCAATGGTTCATTTAATTTTAATTTTTTGAATGTTACTGAAATGTGAAAGTTTGCACGGAAATCTTTCAAGCAATGTAGCTTTTTTATTGGGCAGAAAAGATATTTTCTAAATAATTTTGAATAGCTATACAGATCTTCAGATTATAGAATGATTGAAATTTAGAGTGAATTAACTTAAATTCGATTTCGAGCTGTCACAAGAATTATACACTCATGTCCATAAATTAAGGATAATGCAAAATCAGGCAAAGGAAGAGTTAGAAGCAAAACAAATTTGACTTATTTGTAAAGCTTATTTATTAAACGAAAGGTAAATAACAACAAAAGATGCTATAAGTTTGATATTATTAAAAAATTAGCGATTTTTTCTCCCTGGAGCAAATTACAAAAAAAACCTGCTTACATAAAAACAATATTACATGGTTGGTATGATTGTTAATACATTGTATGTCTCCCAGACGATGCAATACAGTCCGTACAACGCCTAGGCATACTGAGTATCAAATTATCAATTTGATCTTAATGGATATTACACCACTCAAAAAGAAATGCTCTCCGAAGTTCCGGTAGAAATGTAAGAGGAGGTTAACGGGCTGCAACTCGTCGGCCAAGCATGTCCCACACGTACTGTATTGGATTCAGGTCCGGTGAGAATGCTGGCCAGTCCATACGGGTGATATCTTCCGATTGAAGGCATTCGCTTATGATGTTTGCACGGTGAGGACGGGCGTTTTCATCCATAAATACAAATTGTGCGCGCATGGCGCGGCGAAACAAACGTACATGTTGTTCCAGATTGACGTCCCGATAGATTTGGCTTGTCATGGTTCAATTTGAAGATGCAGGTCAGTTCTGGAACCCAGAATAATTCCAACAGAACCGAGCACTCCTGCACCACCGTAACGGTGTCGTTCAACGATGTTTTCTTGGTGGTAACGGGTACCTGGAGCTCTCCATATAAAGTCCAGCGAGAGTCAGACTGCAAAGTAAACATGGACTCGTCGGAAAACATCACACAAGCCCACTGTTGCAGTGTCCACAATGCATGCTCTCTACTCCAGGCTAACGGCACGCGACAGTGAGTTGCAGTAAGTGGAACGCATCTGAAAGTTCTACCAGCATATAGACCAATCTGCTCTAAGCGTCTGTACACGGTCTGCCTTGAAATTGTCGTACCAGTGGCTAAAGAGAGCTGACGAGACAGGTCTGAGGCTGTGCTCCGCCTGTTTCTTTTGGCAGTAACTGCCAAAAACCGGTCCTCGTTCGGCGTTGTAACTCTGGGGCGACCTGTGCTGTAACGTCTAGTCACATTACCATCATCTTGGAATCGTTGCCAAAGCCTGGAGATGACACTCTGGGCAATTCCAAGTTCGTCTGATACCTACAGTTGGGTACGCCCACATTACAGACAGCCGATAATTCTACCACGTAAAAAAAAAATCATCCAAA